CATAGCACAACAATAACGACCAAGAAAAGACTTCTCGTTCCTGGTCCCGCAATCTGTCATTCCCCATATCTGCGCTTTCGGTGGCGCTAAACCCTTGCCAATCCAGCTCAGGATTCGTAATCTCCAAAAACAGCCGAAGGAATCGACCTGTCGAACCTTAGTGTTGTCGCCATGACACGCTCGTGGCGTACATGCATTTTTCTGATTGAGCCGCTGATCTCGTCCGCTGCAGATTTAACATGCCGGCGTTCAGCTTTAAGAGCAGGGTAGTTCATGATTTGTTAACGGCATTATGCTCGGTTGATGCCCGTGCGGAGCGATATCCAAGTGGGGTGTGGGAAATATATGAGTGTTCCCAGAGCTGAAACATTGCGGTCCGTCTTACACGCGCTTGGGTAAACTGTTCATGGTTCAACCGATGCGACACCACACCAAATACCGTACACTCGACACTTACGCTCATTTCTTTTTCAGTCCTCAGTAGCTGCGGCGTCGTTTTGATCAGGACATCGCATCATGTTTCGCCTATCAAGATCTCGGAAAGATAAGGAGGAGAGGCATCCAACCGATGTGTAAGTTTGCTTGAGCAACGCCATTTATCCCTAACACATGCAATGTGGAGGCAACAGGGCGAAACCACTGTGATACCTGAAGTGTTTTCATGGTACTACGTTGAAACACTACAGGCGGCTCATCACTAACATGGTGTTATATCAACTTACTAACCATCATTAGATCCGAGCCGTCTCGACCAAGATCCATCAATGAATCCACCAATCGAACCTCTACATCATCCAAATCAGTGCCAGTTCCAAGGGCAGTTACACGACCAGCGGGTCCTTCATTCCATACTGAAAGCTCAATCCTACGCACATATCAAACCGTAGCATATGATGCTTGGGATGTGCCACGCCTGACTAAAACCCCATGGGAACTCGAACGAGCCAAGTGGAACTCAACACAACGACGCTCAAGACCCCAATATCGATTTCCTGCGCAAGTCTTCAAGAACCTCCCTAAAGAGGTATATAACTGCATAGTTGCGCAACTTGAAAATATCTATCGAGACCGCGACCAAGCTTGTTCATCATGCTATTTACGAGACCTTCACAGCCTTTCCTTGACGAGTCGTGCATGGGAAAAGGCTGCAAGTACAACCATGTACTACAGAGCCCTAGTACTTGCTAATGAAGAACACACTGGGCTCCCGAAGCTCAGGATCAAAGGCACAAGTAGACTTAAACTACTACGGAGGACGCTTCGCGACAACTCAGGATTAGCTCGACGTGTACGAGAACTGCACATGCTTGACTTCCAGTCGCTCTATCAAAATGCAACCATCGAGCGAGAAGAGATTGCGAACCTGGTAGCTTCTTTGGTCATGGCCTGTCCACGCTTAGAACGCCTGGTAGGGTTTCACGTCCACTCCTCGCAGGCATTTGATCGGTTGTCACATGCGCTGTCAACAAGACCAAATCTCAAGGAGCGGGTGTTGATATTGGCCGATACAGATATGGAGACGGGAGTAGACGATGATGAAGAGAGGCTAGGAGGCATATATATTGCCGAATGCGACCCAACCGAACGCTTCCTTGAACTCAGCTCTATCCATTCCGCGCTATCTACTCTGGTATTGCATCAAGAGCAGGGTCGGTCTTTGATAAGCCTAAATTTCCGAGCTATTGTTGGGACTTTTCGAAACTCTCCCTACATACGTCATCTTGTGGTATCTGGACTGGCGGCGAATTCGTTTGCCAGCATGGCCCTGAACGCTATACCGTCTAATCTAGAGTCTCTGCGCCTTGAGAATCTCCCCGGCATAACGGAAAAGAGCATACAACGCTTCGCTATCTCTCAGCAGGCAATTTCCATCCAGAAGCTGGCACTCATAGACTTGGACATTGAAAGTGTTCTCACCATAGCAGACATACTGTCTCCACACCTTGCAAGTCTAAGAGAATTCTCACTTGTTCAAACAAGCGCTCCCACCTTACTGTGTCGAAGCTCGGAGCCTAGTTTTCGATCGCCGTCGCTTCGATTTATCCACTGGGAGTTATGCTCTGAGGCTTCTCCTCTGCCTTCGTTCGTTTCGCCTTCGTCCATAGAACTGCCAGAATCGCGACCATTCCCTTTTACGAATCTCGAACCAATCGCTTGCCTTGCGACGTCTCTGCTTGCGGCAGGTATCCAGGCACACGCCTTCCCATCGCTCCGTCGCATTCGCATACCTCACGATCCCCAAGGCGTCATCCAATCGCTCTGTAAGCCTCTCGCAACAGCACTTCTCCCGTCCGATACGTCCAAATTTGCGACTGCGTCACGTATCTCCACTTCAGACGGGTTTTCCATTATGCTAGAGGAGCCTGCTACATTATCACCCAAAATGCATGGATCCTTTACCTACAGGGCGACGTCGGCATCACGTGTAGATTCTGTAGTCGGCTCTACGATGTTCGATCCAAGTCCTACAGAAGTCGTCCTTACGCCGATGCGATCGCGTCTCGTAGCACAGTCGCGTATCCTTGCTGCTAGGAAGAATGCGACCATGGTCATTCGCGTTTTTGACCCCGAGGGCGAAGTGAGAGTGAACAAGATTATCGGAGGCCATATCGGCCATATAGACAGTAAGATTACTTACGACATTAAGACGGCTGGGCGGAGTGGATGGATCACGGGGATAGCTGACTTGGTCGGCGACAAGGGCACAGAGCTACTTCGGTGTAATCGAGCAAGTTGTGGACATTTTGTTAGTGGAGGAACCGGACACAGCGTCTTGATGGCTGAAGATCTCTTCTGAGGTGAGATGTTCTTTTGGCGGATCCCGAGATCATCTTCCCTGCTCTCGACCATTCACTGGTATGCTGAATGCTTCAACTTGTCAGCTTGCTTATGCGACATAATACGATACCCAGTTTTTGTTTGACCCAAGCATGAGTAATGTCTAATGCGGAACCAGTCCGCATATTTTGTAATATCAGAGCCGTTGCAAACGTATCACTTACAGGATGCATATTTGATGAAGAGTGCAAGAGGCCAGGTAGCAACCTGAGCTGTAGGATAATTAAATAGGATGTTGATAATTCTTCGCTCACGCATTCAGTAGACCATGCGTTTTCCAACATGCCGACGCTGTGGCCAACGCATCGCGATCTGATCACGTCAACCGTTTGCATGACAGGGGTGCCGGGAATGACGGCCGACGTGTGCTTGATGGGACATTCGGTCCGAATCCAGATAATCGCATAGTTGGTGGTGGTGGTGGTGGTGATTGTAATTACGCTGAATTGGAGCCAATCGGAACCATGCCTTCCCTTGCGCGAATATCTTATTTGTGACAACCAGGATAGAGTGTACTTGACGTATGGTGTGGAGATGGTATCGCGAGATGGGATTTGATTTGCGCATGTTGGCAATAAGCAAGCACATGCGATTGTGAATTATTTTTGACGTTTCCAAGGTTCCATGCAGATGTTCATATGAATTTGTCCACCGGCTCCTCTACCGGGTGACACCATAGGTAGGTATCGCTTGATTTCCGCTCTTCTCGTGGTTGCATGTACGTCAGCCTGAAAAGATATCCTCCACCGCGTTAAAGCTGGATGATCCTCGGTGCGGGAGCGCCGCATGCTCATTGGCAGGCGAAGTGATCAAAATCTGGTTGTGGCTCAAGCATCTAGCATTCATAAGGCACACTAGTCCGGATATGGAGGTCGGTATCGAAATACTCAAACCGCTACACCCCTCTCAGAGGCAGCGTTTCGCGTGTGCGTGCAGCCTACCCATGTGGAGTGGACAAAACCTCGATAAAGAGGTAGCGAGGTACTTCCAAATACGTGGCCTCCATTTGTATGCTTGGCAGTTGGTTCGACACCACTTTGTTTACCGAGCGGTTTCAGCTCTACAGTAGGGATGGTATGTTGCAACGGAAATCTGTAGAAATGCATCTGAGGACAACTAGATTCCGAGAGACTGGCTCGTCGAAGCTAGAACATAGTGGGACAATGGTTGCAATGTCAGGATATAAGGGCGGGAAGATACTTGGCCGGGCCATTGCGGCTTCCGCGGAGAGCAAACTTCACAAAAAGGCCAGAGCTGTCGCTCCCTGACTGATGCACCTGCTCAGCTCATACAACAACACCCTGGAAGCCCTTACCGACCAAAGGATGGACCTCTTCCTGACGCCCACCCGAAAGAACTATCTGTCGCGAGTGGGTCATTTAACCACGGCAGAAGCCGAAGTCCCCACGCGTGCCCTCTAGATCACCGGGATCAGCAAGGTGCAAAGCTGCAACCAAGATATGTCGTTCTCAGGTACGGATACTAATCATCGTCTTGAGGATGTAGATTGACTCAAAGCCAGTTACGAGATCGAGATATGCGCTGCAACCGCGAGCGTTAAAATTTATCCAACCAAAAACATCGAACGACTCGAGTCGGTTCTCGATCATGATCATCATTGGCCATGGTGAAGTTCTTAGCGGGATCGCTTTTGTGAAGAGTCGAGACGTTCCACCGATCGCCGCACCGGTACGATTCATCCGGTCTGGCCTTGGCATCACAATCATCAAAGTGGATACGGTAGAGCTACGAGAGCCACATAGCTGAAGGCTGGTAGTGGAGTTCGGGGCTGGATTGTTTCCGCGGACTTGAACGACTGTTATATGAATAGCCTCGCGCTGCCTAGAACGCGTCTGGTTCTTTTCAGCCAAGCTTGCACTTTCTTGCAAGTATTGAAGTATGTTACATTTTTATTTTGTCGTCCTTTTACCTCCGTCAATTATTGTACCCAGAACTTACTCTAGGATCGTCGATCATTGGAACTGATCCCTCAAATGCGGTTTTCACTGACAGCCGCCCCGTTAGATGACCAACGCCTAAAACTAAACGATAGACACACCGATCATGACCACAAAATGCGAAAACAGGTCTTGCCGAGAAATCCCCACGTTGAACCAAACTCCGGAATTACAACCCGAACGGCCCGAAACTCTACGACAATATTATGCTACCGGCTTTACTGGAATGTGCCCCTCTAGTTGAGGCATAATCTCAAGAACCTTTGGGTCGACTGTCCAGTTGCTCAAATCGGCGATGGTACTCTCAAATAGCGGCGTCATGCGGGTGTACCCTGATTCAATATCCCAGTAATGGCACGCATCGTCCGCATATGGCCACGTAACACCGATGAGGCCGACAATATGGGCAACTGGATATTCCTGGGGATGTTGATATAGTAGCTGGCGAAGTTGAGGCCTGTAGAACTGTTAGTAGGAAGCCTTCATCAAAGAAAGAGTCTGGAAACATACCAAGGAACCAGATCAATGAGCAAATCATATGGAGAAGTCTCCTGCTTCCCTACTGGTGGCATCAACCATTCCGGATTGGCATTCATATTCTCGACACTTGGCCAAATGAGATACTGTAGATGCATTAGCTACGACTCGGCGCCACGGGAACGATGGACTTACCCGCATCAGTTTGGTCAAAAGCCATGTGGACGCCAGTCTAACAGGAAGAGGAGACGCCGGAAGCAGCTTATTTACTGTTCTGGAACACCATGTCGAGACTGGCTGCGCATCCTGCGGATCCAGGAAACCCAGTAAAAGAGTGTCCACATCGATCTCAGACCTTCCAAATATCTGTACCTCACTCCACCCATTCGCAAGTAGATCTCGTTTCGTCCTCCGGTAAAACGCACAATCGAACCCGAACTTGTTCAATGCGTTCGCCGCAGCCTCGAGGCTGAGTGGGGATGGGTTCGCGGGCACGGCAACATCAACGGCGTTGTCATGCGAATAAGCCAGTGAGGACTGGCTTTGTTCTCTGCGTAAGTACTGTCAGCTGTCGTTTGTAGACATTTTGACTGATCATTCTCACCTTTCTTCTCGAGAGGAACTGCCGTAAGATGAGCCCCCCATAGGATGCGTATGGCCAGTAAACGGCTCGCTGCTGTTTGGAGTCCCGAACGAATCGGCATCTGGGAGTGCTGGTGTCGGACCCAAAGACTCCTGCTTCTCGCTCAGCGGCATCCCAGCCGTAGCCGGAAACATACCTACCGAAAGCGCCTTCTTGACTTCTTCGGCTGAATGATGTGCAAATCCATTCTTCTCAAGCTCGGACGCCCAATTCGCTGCCGACGCGCGATCCGGTGCCATTGCCAGCAGCGACACAACGGACTTCATATCGTCCAACTCCTTGGCCAGTCGCCTGACGTGAGCCCTCAGTTGAGTTGTTGTTTTACCATCTTCTGCCACATCGTAGACACAGGTGAGGTTTTTTGATTGACAGGTGTTGCACTTGGGCCTCACACCATCACACTGAACCACATGTTAGTCTACTCATCTCAAGATCGATAAAGTGGATATGTACCTTGGATTTGCGTTTTCTGCAACTCTCACATGCTATAGATGTGATCTTGCCGCGAGGGGTTCGTAACGCATAGGTACCAGCAATCGGAGACTGGTGCTGTCCTCGAGCGTTTGCAAGGGCGCCCCCAAGTCCCTGCTTGGGTGCCAGCGGGGCTTTGTGATTTGCAGCGGCGGACGCTGCCAGTGGACGAATCACTAGATTCGTTTGGTTGGTATCGAGGTGGAGGGGCACTTGACTTTCGTCCCATTCAGAGGGCTCCTGGCTAATGAATTGTTAGCGAAATCCAGGTCGAAGTTCTGAAATTGCAGTTTCAGGTCTGGATGCATCCTGGTGGTTGCGCATTCGGTCTGCGCATCTTGTTGCGTAAACACGCATCGATATGCGCGCCTTCGATGGTGCTTTGGACCCCGCGCCCGCAGCCCAAATCTGGCAACCCGGAGAGCAGTGCCGAAGAAACCCTTGGATGGGTAGCAATGCACGGGTCATCCTGACGCCGCAACGGGCAGGTCTCTCAAATTACCGCCATGATAATCAGGAGACTCTGAATGGAGGACTTATTCTCCGTCGCCAGTAGAACTTGCCGAAACGCACAGCCACGGGCGGACGTAAGACGAAATGCCGATCCTTTCCTGGGAAGACTACTTCTTGGGCAATCTCTCACGATTCCCGTATATTTCTTGGCATATCCGGATCGTACCGGTACTTCGATACATGCTCTGTCTTTGTGATCGATGATGTGGACTGGAGCCGTCCGCAGGCCTGAGGAAACGCCATCGCTCGTCGTACTGAAAGGCCATCTGTCACGCTCCGGGCGTTGGTTGAGTAATTTGACGAATCGTGGTAGGGCGCCAGGTGGGCGCGAGATGTGTCCTAACCGGTCCAGAGAAGGGAATCGATTGCTGTCGTGTATATGATGGTGGGGATATTCTGCAAAAACTGACATACTCACATTTGGATCCCTTGAGCTTGTCCAACAGCCTCCGAGGCACGACGCATCAAGCGGGGATTTGCGCTACCTTGCGGAAGTCCTTCTAAGGTGTCAGGCAAGCTGCCACTGCCATACCAGTAGTTCAATCCTGAGGTGTATATTAGTGGGGATCAAGAGCTGGTCATACTGCCGACGTACCCGGAGACGAATTCGATGATTGTGCCGGCATGAATGCGAGCATATCTCAGGGCGGAGTTATCAACAAAAGGAGCTATGTCGGAGTAAGGTGGTGGAGGGAAGGATTTGCTTCTGCAAAATTCACATGAAAGATCCGCAATGCATATCGGGCATTAACTTTGTATATCCTCTACTAGAGCACTGAGCCTGAGGTTCATTAGTGCCCGGCGAACTCCTATGCGGAACTGCTGACACGCACATAGAGCTGGGACGAAGTTTCAAAAGCGTCGCCCATCTAAACACCAGCTTTCGGATGCAGCTGGATCTAGTGTTTTAGCGCACCACACAGCGACGACCGCGGGGAAATCGGGTTAGCGGACGGCACTGTTGGACTAGGCTAGAACGGCCGCTCCTACGAGATGCTGGCAAAGGCATGCGAAACCGAACGCGGGTAGGTGACCCCATGATCCTATGTCATCGTCTTTTCGTTTCGTACAAGTCGCGATCGTGAGAGTAGTTTGCTCTGCGCCAGTCGCCTCCCAATGCGCCGTATGCACGATCAAGGTTGGTATGTGGAATCGGACCCTTTTTCTTGGTGTAAACATAGGTACGGTTAGATCACGCCTGCCGATCATCACTTTGCATGCTCACTGGTGCAGTGACGTGCGGCAGATCGTCCTCGAATCAACTTCCAACGAAGTTCCAGGCCTCCATGGCTTAGCATGCTGTATGATCTCAATCTAACATGGACGCTTGCTGGTATTTCGCTAGGGACACGTAGAATCTATGCAGCACACTCCTCTTGACCCAAGCCGGAGTGGTAATATCTAATCGGACCGATAGCCTTCAAAGCTTGCTGGATGTGTTGCCGCGTCGAAGCGCCTGGCCAGGATCCGCCTTGAGAAAAATGCAGTGTGTTTAGACCATTAAGCATAGTCGTGTGTGACGTAGTTTTTAAGTTTGCCAATGTCCGCTTCGTGTGAGACCCTCAGGACGCCCGGAGGTTAAGACCAACATAGCCAAGCGGCTACCACCAGGGTCAATAGTCACGCAGCTGGGCAGGAACACTCTTCCCGCACGCGCATTAGAGTGCATAGCGCCACCAACGAGCCACGCCATGCGCATGGTAGAGAAAGTCATGTCGACGCGCTTATTCTTTCCACGTTGTATCAGAAACGGATAGATTACTCTCGTAGAGCGAAGTAATCGACTCGGCAGGTATATGCTTCTTTGACTGCGCCCCCACTCAGTATCTACATAAGAAAACACTACCCGAGATCTTCACTTCACCAAGGCTGGATACTCGAATACACCTTGACCAGACTACATAGTGATATAGCGTCGAGTCTGAAACTACCGACACCATTGTCTTTGTCAACCTTTAGAGGACGCCGTCTGTCTTGATACTATTGTAGTGCCCCTTCATCAAGCTTGTTCCTGACACTTTTTCAAATATCATCAAGCAATTATTTGAAGTCGGCCCAAACTTGGCCCAAGAGGGCATTTGTACCCTAGGACGGAACACGAGGCTTTTCGTCTAGCTTCTGGCCAGAAGACCCAGGTACGGGGAAGTCTTCGCCAACGCTTCTCTAGCACATTGCTCTAGCCATGTGTGATTGGACTTCCGACCGCATCTATGACCTAGGTAACGCCATCTCACCGAGCATTCATCCGTACTAGGTACAACCACGTGCTTCACGCCTCGAAGAGCAGAAGCCGGAATTGAGATTACTAGGTCAATGTAGATTTGTGATGCTCCTATTTCATGTTCACGCGTTTGGGTGGTCGTCGTCGTCGTTGTCGTCGACGTGGTTTTGGTTGGGGTCCAAATGCCGTATTCTGCCTGGGCAGATATTCTGCTCTCCTCAAAAAAGAAAACGGATGCGCCTACCATTTTGGATGTAACCTGGCGAAGCCGACCTTCACACCGATATTTGCTCCTCCACATTCCGTTTGTAACCTTGGGCTATGAATACGCGAATAGGCACCCTAAAATTGCAGAGTTTGCTGCTACTTACGGACCTGCGCTAGATCTCGCGCGCCTTGATATCTCAGACGTCTCAGGAGGATAACTAAGATTGAGGTAAAATGCTATCCATTCGATGTCATACCGCTCATTAGGTTACTATGAGACCCTGGCCAAGGATCTTCAAGATTTGGTAATGTTTGAATTTATGTGCGAATGGAGGCGTACGTCCTAAGCTGCACGGTTATCTCACTTGCTACAGTCTTCAAGGATTGTGCGCCTCCGACGTTCACCTCTTGCTATGCACTATTGACGTAGAGGCTTGGAACCGAAGAATCACCTTGGCATAGATTGGAGATCAGGAGTTCAAGACAAACTTCATTGTTAGGTGTGCCATGGTACCCCCTCTGGTGCGGCCGGCTTTGCCCGATTGATGACGTATAGTATCGAGGGATCGTTCGTCAACTTGGGATACACGACTGCGTATGCGCCGTAAAACCGAAAAGCTTGGTTTACAAGCGTCGAAGAGGCGTAGAAGACGAATGTGCGGAGGATATAGATCGAGGTCCAGACCTGATTTTCTCACAGTCCCCTGCTGTCGGTTCTCTATCTTGTCCCGGCAGTCTGGCACACGCTATATCAGGGTCCCTACCGTTTCGTACTCTCAGCACGTCAGCGGCTGCGGGATCGACTCCGCCAAGTATAATTGGTTCGGCTGCTTGTCTAGCTCAGTCATAGGGTCATCCAACCACCGAAGATCTTCGGTGACAAACATAGGTCGTTAGCACAAAGGAATGTTTGAAAACGTGGCTAGCAAAGCCACCAGAAGAGGTACCCTTCGGATAGGGTCTCATTCGACGCACCCGTTCCGCCTCTTGTGAAGAATAGGCTCTCCTAGATATTATCTCCTGCATATTGCACGAGTCTTATCCTTCGCTTTGATGTAGTGCGAAGTTTATTTTACCTGAGCTTCCCTATCGCGCTACACTGTCGAACATCCACATGTATCTCCTAGTTCCGGGGGAGCAAGTGTACGATGTGTTTCCTATGACTGCCAAACGTATGGCCCGTGTTTCAATGGGAAATAGTACGATTTCGTAGTTTGCCAACTGGCTCCAGAGCCCATTGCTCACCGCCGCAACATAACATGGACCGTGCTTTTGATACCAATACGCCCAAATTGTGGAAGTGCTTCGTATTCTGCTGCGCCTCTACCCAAGGGGCATGTTGCGCCCAGTCGCTTAGACGGTTATGAGGCAAGTGTAGCAAGCATCTGAACTGTTGACGGTGATCATATTTGACATATTTCCGCGGATATGCGAAGATTGACATGTCTCAGCATTGCACTGCCTTGCTGGCCCATAGCCGACATGTTACTGTTACATGGATCGGCTCGCGAATCTTGGATGCGGAAGATCTTCGAGTGCGTGAAGCTAGACGGAGGGAGGCGCAAACAACCAAGTGCTTAGCCTCATACATGCGATCAAGGGTCGCAGAGCCTCGGTAGACATCGATGCGAGGATGGGTGTGCTTTCGGGGGGATGTCGCCGATGCAATCAGTTCCAGGCCCAACTAGGTACCGTTGAGCCCGAGGCGTGACACAATAAACTCAACACGCACCAGTTTCTTCTGCGCAGATCCGGACTAGAGAGTCATGATCTCTGGTTATGGATATTAGCATTAATCATAAGGGTTTGACCAAACAGCTCTTGCCTCTTGCACGACGGAAGTCGCAGAAAACGGACGGCGAGGTACAAGCGCTCTTTTAATCGGCGAGTCTCCCATCAGATGCTGGCTCAGGATGCATACGATTTGCAACAGTCTCGAGTCCACACAATGAGGCAAGTTTGATTCGACCTCTTCGTCACATCGAATGAACGGTTCTCCGCGCGGGATAGAATTCTGGCCAACTTCCATGGAGCTCGCTGTGCGCGTGCATTCTAGCGGTTCTGTTCAGCTATTGTATTTGCATACAGCTCAGCATAGGACCATGGCTGCGTGTTGGAATAGGTAGGTAGGGACTTGGCAGGCAGCGTCGAAGCAGCTCGTATGGGCTTTGGGTTGCTTCTGCTCGAAAGCCCTTCCTAGTTTATTCCAGTGATGTTGGAACACATGAATGCTGGTGTGGAAGTAGCCGAAGTTTTGATATTGGATACGCCCAGCACGGTCACGTGAGACGCTTAGGTAATAACAAAAGCTCTGACACCATTTGCACTTTCCCCGCTGTATCGCGAAGCCAACCGCGACAAGACCACGACGAATTCCCTCATCACCAGCGCATTCCCGCTAACTACATCGGTGTGATCGCGCCTGTCTCTTCTTCTCTGCTACACAGTCAGTGATAGAGACACTCAATCTTGTCATCAACAAGAAGCAAGCTGACGCCCAGGATTCCTTCTCTAAAGCAAGATAGCGTCGCACAGCACCACAACAAGAGTCAACATGACAAAGTCTCGCTCAAGCTCTGCGTCAGAGGGCGAGGTCTTGGATACCCGACACAAGGCAAACACAGTCAACTCGCGCAACGAACCTGCGATTAACGGCTCAAACAGGTCCTTTGGACTGGATGGTGCTTATGATAACTACCGCGCCTTGAGTCGATCTCCTTCGCCATACCGCCGCAAGCGCACACCGTCACGATCTCCGTCGCCATATCGGAGAAGCCGCGCCGTCGACCGATCGCCATCGCCTTACCGACGAAGCCGAGCTGATCAAGCTGGGAATGATTCAAGGGGCTACAAGCGCAAGGCCTCTCCGCCGCGCAGTCGCCCTGACAAGCGATACCATGCTGATCATAGCAGACACGGTGATTCTCGACGAGCTCCGGGACCTCACCAGACCAGTTTTGTGAAGGAACAGAAGGACGTACCAGATCGATCGCATGCAAAGCCTATATCATACGCCGAGGTCGAGAACCCGAATCCTGTCACAGACTTCCGAGAGTCTCTGCCGACCGACAAGCGACCTCAGAACTCGCGTCACGGTGACAAACAGCGTGAGAAGACTCGCCAGACGCAGCAACAGAGCAGACAGACACCGTCCGAAGATTCCAATTCTCAAGCAAAGCAGGCAAGCGTGGCCGAAGATGTTGAGATGTAAGTGGACCAGCTCCCAATCAACCCCATCTAAGAGCTGACTCTGCAACAGGACGTCCGTCGACGATACTACTGATTACACCCCAGCTCCTGCTGAAGAGAAAGTCCCCACCCAAGAATCACGCGAAGAGAAACGCCGACGATGGGCTGCTATACGCGCAGCTGCTGAGCAAAAGAAGTCGAAAGAGAACCTTCTTCAGCAGGCTGTCCTTACTAACGCGTCCGAAGCGACGACGCCCAATGTTGCTTCCCCAGCAGCCTACGCAGACAGCCTCATATCACCGTTCGCATCGCCTCGCAATGGCGACCTCGACTCTGTACCCGCCTCTCCAGACGTCATGATAATCGATAAGCAGGGTGGGATCAGTGCCGGTAACAGTCCTGCCGCAGCGAGTCCATCAGCAGCGGACTATGACCCCCTACAGGACATGTTGGATGACCGTGATCGAGCGGCGAAGAAGAACCAGAACCCAGAAGTGTCCTCGGATGCGTACCGCGAAACCGATCCGAAAGCCCTTTCTACCCTTCCAGCAGAGAAGGTAGCGCCTGTCAAAAAACAAAAAAAGGAATTCGACATGTTCGCTTCTGACGACGAAGATGAGGAGGAAGATGTTGGGACTGAGGACGTTGTCGCTGCGAAAGGCACTGTACTTGACGAGAAAATGCTCGATAATTGGGACGACCCCGAAGGATACTACAAGCTAATCAGCAACGAGCTGGTGGATGGTGGACGTTATCGCATGATCAAGGGTCTTGGGCGTGGTGTTTTCGCTAACGTCGCACAAGCTGAGGAGATCAACACTGACAACGGCGACACGAATTCGAGAATTGTCGCTATCAAGATGATCCGCAGGAACGACTTGATGAGAAGGGCCAGTCAGAAGGAAATGGACTTCTTGCGCAAAGTCAACGAGGCAGATCCACAAGACAAGCGCCACATCATCCGCTTGCTGGGGTCGTTCGACCACAAGGGTCATTTGTGTATTGTGTTTGAGCACATGTCGAAGAACTTGCGGGACTTACTCAAGGAAGAAACTAACGGCCACGGTCTTACGCTTCCAGCTGTGCGTATCTATGCGCGTCAGATGTTCCTTGGTCTCCAACACTTGCAAAATTGTCAGGTCATTCACCTCGATCTGAAGCCAGACAACGTCTTGGTCTCTGCTGATAAGAAGACCATAAAGCTTGCCGATTTTGGTACCGCGGTCGACAAACGAGACGTTATCGAGCGCACCGAGTACCTCGTCAGTCGGTTCTACCGCGCACCTGAGATTATACTCGGTATGGACGTTGGCTATCCTGTAGACATGTGGGCTGTAGGTTGCACCGTATATGAGTTATGGACTGGCAAAATTCTTTTCACTGGACGATCAAACAACCAGATGATCAAATCCTTCATGGACTGCTTGGGATGGCCGAGCGAGAAACTGCTCAAGAAAGGCCTCGTCAACAACATTCTTGAGAACTTTGAGCTGGGACCCCCACTGAAATTCATCAGCCGTGAAGTTGACCAATACAACAAGGTACGCTTTCGTTATTCATTTGAGAGATGGAGCTAATTTTTTCACAGCTCTCTGTTCGCAAGATCGAGCAGCAGAAAAGGATCAGTCGCGACATGAAGACTAGAGTCCACGACGCCGCCCGAAACATATCTAGTGGAGGGCCAACTGTCAGCGAGTTAAACGATCTAGCGGATCTGTTGAGTGCTAGCCTACACATGAACGTCGAGAAGCGCATATCACCAAAGGAAGCTCTTGCACACAAGTTCTTTGCTAACAAGAATCCTGCGCCCAAGACTGCCACGACCACAAAATCTGCTGTCGTCAAGCCGCCCATGATGAAGCGTAGTACCCCAGTTGGTACGCCTGGTGTTCGTCGGTAAGCACTGCAAGATGGATTTTTAGCGTTGCAGTTTTATTGACTTTCGGCGTTGTTCTGCTTCTCTGCTTTCAGTATGAAGTGACGGGCCGTTTTCGAGGGAGGCGCCCGGGCATCCGTTTGAGATCCTGAATATGGGAAATCAACATAGCTGGTTACCAAGCATTCATCAAACTGGTTTGTGGAATCGGGGACGCTAGCTGTAGAAAACAACAGCAGAGGAACCTGGTTCTTGAAGTGAGTGGAAAGCGCCTTCTTTGGCATGGGACCTGGCGCCAGCCTTGCGACGCTTTCTACATACAGCTTCCAAGTATGTCCTCTTTTAGCTCCCAGGCCAAAAACTGTTGGGATGCAGCCACGGTATTAATCGGATCGGAGAGTAAGCACTTACTGTCCGGCTCACTGAGCCATATGACATAGTTAGCAACAGATGTGTGGAACATCGAAGTACGTCTTCACATGTACAATTTCAGGTTTTAGACGACTTCGAGATCATGCACCACAAACGATTCAGAGTCTTCAACTTGCGATACAAGCATGCTATAATTCAGGCATCAATCTCTCCCTTTAAGAAAGCCTTTACTTTATCACCCCAGATGACTTGACGCTTGTAAATTGTTATGCCGGGTGCACTGCCAAGGCCCAAACCATCAATAGCCTCCGCAAGCACCTCTCCGCTCCCTTCATCTCTCAATTCGCGCAACGGATACTGATACGTCTAGCTGTTGTCAGCGGACCGTCAAGTGAGAAGAAACTCCATCTGAAGCCCTCCAAACTAGCCAAAATTACCTTGAAAGCAAATACTAGCGCCCCGGTCTTTGGCAAACGATGCAATGTCTGTCTCTCACATCTCACCACCGTCTTGTCCAAATCGATTTCCTCCTCCGCTCCGATCTTTTGCTTCCGAGCCAAATCCTCCTCACTCATGTGGTTCCCTTCCAAGCAGAACAACTCTCCATTTGTACTGATACTCCAATTACTCCGCTTGACGATCTTGCCCATGGGTAGGTTGGCAAAGAAGCGATCCATGCTCTTTTCTAGCTTAGCGGCATAGCCGGGGACAGGAGCATGTATGGCAGCGAGAAGTTGATTGAGCTTGGAACGTGTGTTGAATCCGCTCGGAAAGCAGTTTATAAAGGCCGTTAGCAAGTATTTGGTCTGCGTAGTGGTACCGAACGACGAACCATCGAGTGGTTCGGAGGCGAGAGGGGAGGGGGAAGGGGTGAGTAGTAAGAACTCCGTGTCGATATTGGAGCCTAGGATTTCCAGAGCTTCTTCGCCGTTAGTCATGTGTAGTGGGATCAGGCTATCTGTGACATGGTTGCGCAGATGCTTTCCCGACTCTGTGATGGCGTATAGACTTGGAAAGCGAAGAGGCAGGTATGTTCTTGTAAGCCATTCGTACAGTTCTAGGACGGCGGGGACGGCTTCTGAGTTACATGCAAGGACTTCGTAACGTTCCTTTTCGATGAGTCGCGAACGGATTTGTAACCGTTCGCGATAAGTGTTATCCATTGCAATTAGATCATTCAGGGTAGTATTTTCGAGTGCTGTTGCAGTGTCGCTGTTAGTGCATACTCATGCTCTTGGTACGTGGTGGTAGAGACTTTACCCATTGTCATATGGTATTTTGGTTTGAAAGGGCGGAGCTTGAGAGGCTGTTCCGTATCCAGGTTGAAGTTTGAGAGAGGGGTGATATCATCGTATGCGGATTCTGAGTATACGTGTTCGGCTTTCTGCTTGACCGGTGTTGACAACAATGGATGTCGTAATCGCTAGTTCAGAAGTTGCGTCAGAGTGCTGGTGTGGAAGATCAGTGGACAGAAGAACATACACAGATGTTATTATGCAAGCGAGCTCTTTTGGAGTAGGCATAGGCGATTGCTCCTAGTAACAGGAGCGTCCATGCCAGCGGTCTGTTGATCATGTCAAATTCGTCCATGGTAACTTGGACGGCTGTTCAGATGTATCACGCAGGATAGCCGTATATAAGTTGTGTTCAATGTCAATGTATGTCACGCACGCAGGGCGTCGGATCGACAAGCCGTCATAACATGGAAGAAAGAAGACATGAAGTGGTAGACGCTTCAAACGCTTCAAACGCTTCAAACGCTCCAAACGCGACGGCAATGCTATCAGTTGTTGAAACAAGTGGGATCTAGTTGCCTATCAGAGCTAACCCCGCATTGGAGCGGTTACGCTAAGATGGCGTACTAGGAACGGGGCAGATCATAACGATGCAGTCTTGCACGTTTGCTTGAAATTGGACTAGTTGTGAAATTGACTGTCTCAGCAGACGATCCTGAATCCACAGTCTAGGGACACTGGAACGTAGCCATGCCATGTTATCATTTCACGATGATGTTGCAGTCTTGAGCAGTTTCTTCAATGCTTACACTTACATGTAATCCTGTCTCGATGCTAGATCTGCAGCTGTCTAACGCGGGACAGACTTGTAGTAGATATCGTTGTCCCAGTCTCATCAGCTCCTGGACTTGTTCCTCGGCTCTGTCAGGCCTTTCTGCTTCCTCATCCGAGCCATGGTGTACCCGACGCAACCTCGCTGTTGGCACGTTTATGCTTTAGCGTCCTCGGCTTCTGGATGGCCCACAGGCACCAACTTGCCCACAACAAGGTACTTTTCCTCGAATCTCTCTTCCCAACCCCTCAAGGCATCCAGCTGCTCAGCATCCAGGTTCTCCAGAGTGTCGAGTGGTCCGTCCAGATCCTTGGTCAGCATGTCCTCATCAAAACTACCGCAGGCCAGGCCTCTCGACGCATCGCGGCCAGCGAAGTTTGCATAGGGGCCACCCGGGCCATAGAAGTTGCGGCCGGATGTGACGTCAAAGACACGGCCACGAACCGCGAGATAGACAGGCATGTTGTTCAAGCCATTGTAGGGGAAGAGCGAGGGCGGGGTGAAGGTGCGGAAGACGGTTGGCGGCGGGGCGCGTGGGAGGGTTTGCGGGGCGGCTGGTTTGAGCCGGAGATAGACAAGAAGGCCGAAGAGGGAGAGGAGGATGAGGTTTATCGGGGTGAAGACGGAGGCGCTGCGGTTCTGTGAGTCGAGTCGGGTGCTTGCTGGGTAGCTTGTATTGCTGCTTACGCGTGGGTTGCCGATGGCTCCGGAAGAGGTGAAGGAAGTGCTGTTGCCATTAGCTTGACCCGATGCATGCGCACATTGCAGAACTAACCATCCGCCATGGTGGAAACGCGACGTTGAAGAAATGCTACGTGGGTGACAGTCGACGGTGCTGTCGTGGTGGATGGTAGAGTTTCAACGGCGCGGGGAGCTTAGTTGCAGGCCATGATGTAACCCCAAATGCTCAGCACTAACCAGACATGCATGCCCAAAGACGACGGACGTCCGCCGCAAACTATCACGAACCTGCACGGCACATGTTCCGGACGTTCAAATCCAGCCGTGCAAGCAATGGATTCATTCGGATTACCAGCGGGCCGTGAAAGGGGGTATTGCACATGTTATCACAGCTGAGGCGCGCGTGAGACATAGCCACTTTGCGCAACCACCCGGCCAGTCTCTCTTTCACCGGAGAGTCGCCATGTAATCTTAAGATACTTTGACGACATCTTCACCTCCACTTCACAAACCCCAAGCACGCGCCTACCTGCGCGCAAACACGAGCTTCGCGCCGCTCCACCCATCCCATCCCTGCGCCTTACCTTTTGAAACAAGGCCCTGAAACGCGCGACAGCGATTCATTTCCGCCGCCTTGGGACCCGCTGATTCGCCTAGGCTGCACTTGTCGCCTTGAGCCTATCCAAACAATCGTCAGAGAGCAATTCGCTGCCGTCGAACCGCTGCTTGAAGACAAAGACTTGCGGCACCGGTGCGATATCGTGCCGCTGGCGCTTTGGTCGAGGCGCAGTTCCTACTTGGTTGTCTTGTGCTGGTCTTCTTAGAGTGAGCTGACACCATTTACATCTCGACGTCGACTTGATCGCCCTCCTTCATTTACCAAAATTACGCCTTCGCATCCGCCCGTGACGAAGGATCCGAGGCTTGAACCTACATACATGCTGTTTCTTTGTTTAATCTGAGCGTCAACATCAACTATCAACAATCAACCACTTCTTCAACAAACCCGCTTTACGCATAATATCCTGTACGTATATTCCTTATCTTGTCGCCAGCTCTTTTGCACTTGGTACTTGCGTTGTCGACATCGGCCATCGGCATCCTCTCGTGCTCGTTTCCAGATCGTGTTCCTCGAGACGAGAATTGTACATGGCCTAGCAAGAGTCGGTATTCTCGCCTTCTTCATACTCGCCAACAGCATTGGAGGACATCGCACGTCCCATCTGCGTTGCTGTACGTGTATTCTATGGTATTGGCCGCCCACACCTCTCTGATCGACGGACCATGTTTCTCGCCTATCGCCCGCACCGACAGCTGCCTCCACCAGATCTAGGACCTTGCCAAGTCTCGCGATGTCGACGGGTTTCAAAAAGCACCCAACAATCATGCAATGTACTCTGAAGACTGCTGGGAATAGGAGAGGCTCCGTCGCAATAAGTAGCCCTCAGCCGCTGAGAATGTCGCTTTGCCTACTTCGTGATGCTCATGTATACTTGTACTTCTATCGATTCGGACTAATCTTTGTTTCATGCAGAATCCTTAATAATGTGGAAACGATTGCAGGGTGCCGTCCGGGATAAGGATAAGGAGAGGCATGCACGAATAGGCAATCCCGTACTTCTTGAAACCACTTATGACGAGGATCAACTGAATCGCAATCCCAAAGTGACCGACCTCCAAAATGGCAGTCACCAGAATTATGCGCTCCCTCCGCTGTCCCAGTAAGTACTCGAATCCTCATTTCCTGCGTCACCGCTGATTGCCTGGCAGTTTATCAGCTCCTCACGAGCCTCCCCACTATAGATCGTCAGAAGTACCAACAGCCTCGTCTATTTACTCACAAGACACACTCTGCTACAACAACGACAATCCCACAGCCACATCTCCCTCCGCTTACGACGACA